CAATCCAAACCATTCTATGATTCTATGGCAGCAGCGATGTGAATTTTTCCTTTCTGGCTCAACACCACGCCTTAGCACTGACATGTACGGCTCAAACTCTACAGAAGAACAGAATGATTTATTGACATTGTTAGCCCTAGTCTGTTTTTCAGTTAATGATCCAGAAGACAGAGATTGCATTTAGTAGATACTTGTTAGATATCCAATACCTGCTTCTCCCTTATTTTAGCTGATAATTCTTTCAATTAATTATGTGATAGCTCTCAACTAAAAAATTAACAGATCAATTACATTTCCTCACAACCTTCTCCATCCATCCTTAGCTTGATGTTCTAAATTGAGCATAATATTCTGAAAACACTCCCGTATTTCTTATATAGATGTTCTATTTGTTATGATCTGATTCCTTTTACACACCTCTGCATCTTACCTGGACAGAATCCAGTCCCTGCTTCCAATCCTTTAGCCATTTTTACCCAATGAGTCTTTTATGCAAAAAATAAATGTGTCCTAGGAACTAGGACCAGAATCTATGCCACCACCTGCAGGTATGTGCACTGGGCTGGAAAATTAAGGTCTCTCTTACTTGCCCCTTCCATGATCCCATGCATCTGCTGCAAGAAGGGACAGCTTCAGTGCAGGGACAGACTTTTACCTTTTAGCTTATTTATAGTCTGGGAAACAAGGAATTCTATTTGAGAGAAATTAAGGTTTTCACTAAGAAAGCCACCAAATTTGTTTCCTGAGTGAGCTGGGTGATGCTGCAAGATCAAAAACAAATAGGGCAGCTAACACTTCCCATGTTCTAAAAGAAAATAATGTGCAAATCAGACAGCATGTCACCTTCTGATCACAATTCCTAGGACACATATGCTTTTCGCATAAATCGAAGAAAGAGATTTGAACCATGAGCCTCCATTTTACATAATTCTCAGGACATCAAATTAGGCATCTAACTCGGAGTGAACTGTAACTTACTCAGTACTGTGTTCTCTATCTAGGAAGAACTTCTTCACAGAAAGGGTAATCAGGCACTGGAACGGCCTACCCAGAGAGGTGGTGGATTCACCATCCCTGGAGGTTTTTAAAAAGAGATTGGACGTGGCCCTTAGTGCCATGATATAGTAATTGGAGTTGGATCAGGGGTTGGACTTGATGATCTTGGAGGTCTTTTCCAACCCAATCTATTCTATGATTCTATGATTCTATTGACAACTTTATACACCTCTATCTCAGCATATGCCTCCGCTTTACAAGGCATTAAGAAGACAACTCATATGTGTGATTGCATGTTAGAAATCAGGAGTGTAGAAATAAAGCACTCAGAAGTACTTAGGCCTTTTATGGATCTTACTGCAAACAGTGTTTTGATCACTCTGCTAGATGAAGTTTTATATCTGTTAGAAGAAGACACTGCGTAATCAGTCAGCTCCTTCTTACCTGCAGTTATCATTGATTTAAAGCAAGATTTCTGGTCTATACGTGGCCAGATAATGTATTTTGCCTTTGGTCTCTTGTGCCGCAATGTTAAAAAACACAGAGTTAGACTCATGCCAGTTGCCATAGGAACCACAAAGCAACTGGTCACTGTCCGGACACCTGCACATAAAAAGCAAGTTAGAAATTAACATGAAGAACCCACGACATGCCCCCACAAATGAGAGACATTTTCAGATTTACACCTACCAGCCAGCTTTAAAATATCCAGAACTACTGAATTAGTAAGTTTGTTCAAAAGGCTAGACCCTGCAGCTTTAGGCTGGACTGCAGAAATATCACCAGACCTTCCAATTCCATGGATCAACCTAAACAAAAAAGGTTGAAAACACACATCAAGTTTTTCCACATCCCAAAGCAATAATTCCTGCTTTTCCTGCTGACTGAAGAGAATGTCATTTGATAAACAGTTGTGGAAAATGCTGTATTCAATGCAACATCAATATCTGACATAATGACTTCCATTATAACAAATTACATAAGTTCACAGGAAACTGTCTTTTTTTTTTTTTAACAGCATATTAACAATGTTACAGTATGCAGGTAAAAACTTAGAGAAAACTCATAGTAGCAACACCTTTAGCACATGGCAGGCTTTCTTTTAAGCACACCTCAGCACTTCTTGACGTCTGCTGAATTAGTATTATAAATGCTGAGATGTTCAGACACACAGCTCCAAGAAAAACAAAAATCACTTGCCTATAGTGTATAATAATAATAATCGGGGGATTGGACTAGATGATCTTTCGAGGTCCCTTCCAATCCCCAACATTCTGTGATTCTGTGATAGTGTAGCATTCCATAGGCATAGTGGTATTATACAGATACTCCCCTGAAAAACGCTACATCTCCATAGGACAAAGAAATAATATATACTGTGATAAAATGTCCTAAAAGACAGTTTGGTTAATGTATGACTTTGCCCATCTTTTTCTACATCTTCACTTCATCTACCTCATGCTACTATTCAATATTACCTATCATGCAATTCAATCTCTCTCTCAGCATTCTGTTTATAAATGATGTTTATAAACTGCATTTATAAATGTTGTATATTATTTAGCACCTTTCAGGAGTGGAGGATCCTAAAAGCATTTACAAAATATAAGCTTACAGAACTAACTTTACCCATGGCTGAAACGCAGCAGCTGCTCAAGTAAGCTAGTAAAAATATACATCTATTTATGGCTTTAATTCTGTTTTTTCCTTGGAAATAGATTCAAATGCTGTCTGATGAGTGTATGGAATTCAGAACTCCTTGGAGCATAGTTTTATAGTTTAATTTTTTTTCCCATTTCAAGCTACGAGTTGGAATCAACAACAGTTTGATAATTAATTGAAACTTCTACATAATCCTCACTCCATTAAAATATCTTCTTCCCTATTCTTGCTGCTATGCTCTTAATAGCTTTCTCATACTACTACTTTTTCTCTTCTGCACATATGTACTCCTTCCTAAGGAGCAATCCTCCCTGGGACTGGCCCTGAGAATTTATTAAGCTGAAAGGAAAGACAGCTAGAGAACTATCGCCTGCTACCTCCATCATTCCCAAAGTCACCTGGAAAACTTATTGCAGAAGCAAGTGGAATGGAGGACGCCTCTACGCCTTTCCCTGCTCTTGCTGACACTCATAGGTGAAGGTGAGATGCCAGCTGACAGAGCTGCATCAGACCAACAGTAGCTAAATGCCAGCCCAGGCTCCCTCTGGCCAGAAGATGGACATGCTTTCTCCAGCATTCCCAGAAAGCAATACTTGCTTGGATACTATCCCCGGTGTGACCCTCTACCTCCCTCACCACACATATTCTAGACTAAAGAGCAGTACAGAAAACAAAAAAAGTCAAACTGATGTATTACTGGCTTTCTTTATTAATTTTTTCATGGTACTGTAGGGCTTATGAAAGCCATTAAGCCTAAGTAATTCAACTTCCATATGGTAAAGCTTACTAAATTTCTGGTCTCTAATATGCTTTTGTGTTAATCTTTCAAGGAGAAACATTACAGGAAATTTCACTTTGTTTCATTCCTGGTAAATAAAAACATCATACCAAGATACTCAGCAGAACTCTACACACACACACAAAAAAGTATATTAATAAAGAAACTAACATAGAGTCTCTAGAATTATAGCATCCAACTACAGGCTCTTCTTGTCTTTATAGATCTCCTTACTTCATATAAAATCTGTTGCAGATGGACTGGGTTTTCATATGTGTATCGACAAATCACACTATAAAGATATTAATGAATAAAACAGTACAAATAGTTGTTCACTAGGAATGCTCAATATTTTACAACTACAATATGTGGTAGTTTTTAATAAAATACAGTGTTTAAAAAAGGCAAGTTATGCATGGATTATTTTAAAAGAGGAAGATTTTTGCTTCCCTAGCATGCAGTCAACTCAACATCTTAAGCTTCTACCAGTTCAGCATACAGGACACAACCCTGACAAAACATTTTTGTTTCATTCAAGACTTTCCAATTAGTAATGAAAATTCAATACAAAATTTGTATTGATTCAATATTGCTTTTCTCAAATGCTATCAAGGTCTCAGATAACAAGATGCAATAAAAGATACCATTTGAAAGCATTAATAATAAATCTAAATAATTCAAATTGCCAATAATTTGTACCTGTAATGCCTTCGGGCAACGAGTTGTGATGCCACTCTTCCTTCCCTCTCACCCACACCACAGTTGCCCAGAAAGTTATTGCTATCCATTATAGCAAGTTCATGAAGAAACAGTTCAATGGTGCTTTCATCCCATCCATCTTCAGGACATTTTCCCTTAATAATAATAACAATAATTATATAAAGGCAACTATGAAACTTGGAAATTAAAAATGAACTAAATTTTATACAACTTGTTTGATTAACGTTATCCTTCTTCCCCATGCTGGACACCAGTCTGTATTTTCATTATGCTGTGTTATATTATATAATGCTATGGACCTGCATTCAGAGAAAAGTTAAATAACGATCTTTCCATATATTAAGCGTTACATTAGCATATCCTGATATTAAAATAGCCAGGATATTTTTCACTTTCAAGTGTTCTTTAAGATACACACAAAACTACTGCAGCACATACATGTTAATTACTCCCTAGAAGACTACAAATTATTTTATGGATTCTCTAGACAAGAATCTACTACTACAGGAATTCAACAGAGAAAACTGAACGAAAGGGAGATAATTGTGCCTTATAGAACCAAAAACATTAATTACAAGCAGAAAGGAAATAGAGTTTAACTTGTAACACATCTTCCTATCTGCATATTTTCCTTCCTAGTTATCATCCAACAGGTGAGGTGAGGGAAGCACTTACAGAATATAACAGGTCAGCACCTGCAACCAGGTGGGTGCTTTCCTGTGCTCGCTACGGCGCTGAGAACCGCGCTCATCTTTGCAAACCGCAGCAAAGACCCTGAGGAAAGGAACCGTGAACCCGGGAAGCATCACACACACCACGGCGGCTCCACAGTCCCCCGGAACGGTGACACTAACCCATCGGCAGAGCGCGGTACGGAAGTGGAGTTTGAGACAGCGGGTGATGTGACCGGGGATGCTCAAGAACTGAAACACCTGAGAGTTCCCCGGCAGTGACTCTGTACGCTGCAGACAAACGCCAACACACTGCTCCGGCACCCCGCAAGTACCGGTGTTACCGCACCTAACGGCGGGCCCGCACCTCACTGTTTAAGGAAACGCTTTAACTGTTCGCTGCGCCCGCCCAGCAACCGCACAGCCAACGGCCTCGCACCCCC